TCACAGTGGACCATATGTTTTCACACCAGAAATTACAATAATGTCTACATACATTTTAATCACATCAAATAATAAGATGAACTGGATTTTAAAAACCCAGCTATGATTAGTTATAAGTATTTTACTGTTAATGGCCTCTTGGGTTTGGTGTAACACCCTAAGGTTGGAAGAGGATGGGAATGGGGACATTTCAAGTGATATTTTTCCTTTCATTTTTTGTAAAGAAGGTTTGACTTTGGCTTTTTCTAAGATAGGAAGCCTCTGGACAAAAAATCTCATTATTGGTAACACAAGAATTGGATGATGTCAATGAAGAGAAGGGTAAACAAAGCTGTGGAAGAGGAAGCGGGTTACTGAGGTAGGATCACATCCTTAGACTGAAGGTGATGTCTTTAGATTGATTCACCATGGGCAGGCACTGCTGCAGGCCTGGCAGCCAGCCTTGTGCAGGTAGAGCAGAGGAACAGTCAAGGAGCTGGGGGCTGGGACGGTTTCCCGTTCTTTAAGACTTTTACTTAAAATGTCTGTTCTCAATACGGCACTGCGTTCCCGCCTTCCCTGAAGTCTAGTAGCATCATCTCCAGGGGCTAAACCTTCTATCAAACTTTTCCAGAGTGATTTTCTAGGCCTCTTCAGACACTTCCCTGGAGAGGGAAGCCTGGCGTCTAGTAGCTACTGAAAAAGACTTTCCATCAGTCTTCCTGTTTTTAACACCATCTCACACTCTTGCCATCCAAGGAAACATTCTCCAATTCCTGAGTTTTCTTGGGGTTGAACAGTTTGTAGACTTGCATCTTTCTGGCATTCAAAATGCAGGGTTAAATTTCAGCCTCTCTGGTCTACTTAATCAGTTACTACTACTTCACGTGTCTCCAGATGATAAAATTTTGTTGACACCAGTGATCTGCTGTTGTCTCCTTTTCTATACTCTTCGTCCTTGTAGTTTATGCCTATTTTTAAAAATTCCATTACACACATTTTAGTAGTGTTTTGGGAGGTGGGGAGAGAAATGTATTTAACTTGAAGTTCTCCCCACTCTCTCTTTAATCCTCTCAATCAGACTTTTATCCTCACAAATCCACTGAAATGCCTTTGTCAAGGTTATGTCTTACTTGCCCTTTCAGGGCATGTGATGTGCTTGATTACTTCCATCTTGAAATTCTTTCCTTAACTTCTTAGACACACTCTCCAGGGTTCTTCATCTGATTGTTGCTTCCTCTCAGTCTCCTTCACTGCAACCTTCTTCTCAAGAAGGTCAAGGTATGTAAGACCTCTGTTCTCCCCATTATAAACTTCCTCTGTGTTGATCTTATCCAGTCCTCTGATGCTAAATACCATCTCTATGCTGGTGATTCCCTCATTCATCCCTCCTGCTCAGTCTCTTATCCTGAGCACCTGATCATTTATCCAAGTGCCTATTGACATGGCCATCTGGATGCCTAGTGGGCATTCAAATGTTTTCTTTCCAAAAATGAACTCTTGATCCCTTCCCTCCGATACGTCAACTTCCATTCTTCCTTATCTCAGTGCATGGCCTCAATATTCACTCAACATTTACACATTCGTTCCCTCAGCAGGAACCGTCATCTCTCCCGTCAGGGTATATCCCAGCTGCAGTCAGTCCTCCGCCCCACCACCCACCACTGTCACGTGCTCCTGTATGTGTGTTCACCTTTACTTCTTGTTTCCCCTCTTTTTCCCCTATAGTCAGTTCTACACAGAGATGGTTTAAAAACTTTAATCTGTCATGTCACCCGTGCTCAGATCACTCCAGGAACACTGAATCTCCCTGACTGGGTCTCCCCTGGTCGCTCCAGTTTATTTCTAGCCCCTGTCCACCCCACTCACTACACACTAGTCACACCAGCCTTCTTGCCTTCCTTCCATTACATCATGTGTATTCTAAACTTGGGACTTTGGCATACACTGCTATCTCTAGCCAGAAGTCACTCTGCAGACTGACTTAGCTCACTCCAGTAGGACATTCAAACATCTGCTCTCAAATGGTGCTTCTTCAAAGAACTCTTCTGGGATCACCTACCTCTTTTCCAGTCACTTTCTACTCCTTTCGTTTTTCTTGTGATTTATCATCTCTTGATATCACTTAGCTTATTTATTTCTTTATTGTCTGCTTTCCTTTCTGAAATGTAACCTCCATGAAGGACAGAGAATTAGTCTATGCTGTGTACTACTCCAGCCCAGTACTTAGAACAGTGCCAGACAGGAAGTAAATATATGTTGAATAAAAGAAAGAAGGGAGGAGAGGAAGTGGAAGAGGAGGGAGCAGTCAGACATGTACAGCCGCTCTGCTTACTCTGACCTTGGGCTAGGAGAGGATGTGGAAATCTGAAGGATAAATGAAGGTAAGAACGTAATGGTGGGATATGGTCTCCACCTGCACAGAGAAAACACGCACTCCACCTGTGTTTCTCCTTGCCTCACACACACAATACTTCTGACACCACAGGCATGGGTTTTCCAGGCATTAAGCAATTCCCTGTGACACTAGCAGGCTGTCCAACAATTTGTCTCAATTCTGACTTTATCTGTCTGAAGAGAAACAATATCAGATTCTACAGTTTAAGGGCTCAGTCCTACAAGACTGCTGCCCACCCCACTCCCATTCACACACATACACACACACACACATGCACACGCACACACTTCAGATGCCAATCTCAAGTCCCATGTTGCCACTGGTATTTCTCACAGGCTAGCTATAAATCAGCGTTCCTATGACCCCCCTTTCTTTGGGTTCTACAATTTGCTAGAATGACTCACAAATATCAGGGAAAGACTTGTATTACTGGTTTACTATAAAAACATAGTAAAGGATATGAATAAACAGACAGATGGAGAGATAGATAGAGTGAGATCTGGAAGGGTCCTGAGCTCATGAGGTTCTGTCCCTATGCAATTGAGGGGCCCCACCCTCCTGGAATTTAGATGTGTTCAGCAACCCAGAAGCTCTCCAAACCCTGTACTATTAGGATTTTTATGGAGGCTTCATTACATAGATATGATTGATTATAAATACATTTGCAGTCTCTCACCCCTTTGCAAAGAATGGGGAGGGGGCAGTGAGAGAGGAGGTGAAAATTCCAAGCTTATAACCATGGCTTGGTCTTTCTGGTCACCAGCCCATATTTTGAAGTTGTCTAGGTGTCCACTAAAAAGACACCTTAGTAGAAAAAAAAGACACTCTTCATTTAAGAAATTCCAGAGAATTTAGGAGCTCTGAATTAGGAACTAGGATCAAAGAGCAAATGTCAGAACAAAAGATGCTCCTAGCGCTCTTGTTACTCAGGACATTACAAGAGTCTTTATGTAATTTTTTCTCTATTATTTCACAACCCCCTTGGGCATTCCTCATGCACATATATGGAGAAAAGCCCAGCTGAGGTATTGCTTTCAGTTTATCATCAGCCCTCATGGGATACAGGTAAGTCAGGAGGCCTAGCATGGTGTCGGTCACTGTAGGGAAAGCGACCCTCAGCCAGGCTTAGGAGTGGACGCCCATGTGAAGGAGTTAAAAGAAGGACTTGGCAGAGGCTCACATTCACTAAGCAAGAGAGCTTGTTAGTTGTCCTCTCTATCACTGCCAAGGGCAAAGGAGAAACAAGCAACAGTGGACAGAGCATCCGGAGAGAAAAGGCATTGCCCTAGAGACAACCAGACACCATAACACACACTGGAAGCAACAGAAGCCCAAGGTCCACGTCCAGGAACAAGAGAGCACATTATGCTTCTCGGCCATTACACCCAAATGTCATTGCAGGGAGAAAAGCCTTGAAAGGGGAAGGTGATCTTTGAGACAGGGCATTTTTCAAACCAGAGACTGAGGCTTTCCAACCTGTGGCTGCTGCTGGTGGAAATGTAAATTGGTACACTTATTATGAAAAATTGAATAGAGATTCCTCAGAGAGTTAAATATAGAATTAACCTCTGATCCACTTCTGGGTATACACCCAAAGGAAATGAAGTATCTTGGAGAAATATCCACACTCCCATATTCATTGCAACGTTATTCACCGTAGCCAAGATACGGAAACAACCTAAACGCCCACCGATGGATGAATAGACTAAGAAATGTGATATTGTGATATATACATGTGAATATTATTTAGCCATAAAAAGGAAGGAAAGCCTGTCATTTACAGCAACAAGGATAAATCTGGAGGGCATGCTGAGTGATGTAAGACTGTACAGAAAAAAAAATACTATATGGTATCACTTACACGTGGAATCTGAAAAAAGAAAAGTTGAACTCATAGAAGTGGGGATATGTTGGTCAAAGGATACAAACATTCAATTATAAAGTGAATAACATTTGAGGATCTAATGTACAGTGTGGTGAATATAGTTAGTAATACTATCATATATACCTGAAATTTTCTGAAACTAGAGCTTAAGCATTCTTACCACCCTCCTACCCCCCCCAAAAAGTAACTATGTGGGGTGATGGCTGTGTTAATCAACTTCATTGTATTAATCATTTCACATGTATGTGTATGTTAAATCATCTTGTTGTACATTTTAAATATATACAATTTGATCTTTCAACTATACCAATATAAACCAATTATAGAAAGCTGAAAAAATATCTGATTGTGCTAAGTGAAATTGATCTAAACATTTAAATAATTTTTCCTAGTCAACACAGAGAGGTTTATGAAGAAGTCTTGAAGAAAAAGTTTTTTTAAACCTTACGTTTATTTTTCATGCTTTCATATTTTAGCAGGAGGTGACTTATGGCGCTCTGCCTCATAATTCTGTATTTTGGTGTAAGTTTTATTGCTCTGACTCAGGAAAACATGCAGAAAGGACAGTGCAAGGGTATATGCCTAGGAAGAGACTAACATTATAGAAAAAAATATATCATATTATACGATGTATTATACAATATACCCACTGAACAGGATCATGGCCAAATGAGTAAGGAAAACGATTTGAAAAGGTTCATCTAACACAGGCCTTGACAAACGTTAAGTGTCCAATAAATCAGCTGAGGGAGGAAACAAAGCAGTGGGTAGGCAGTGCAGATGGCTGGCGTCTGTTTCAGAAACAACACACACCAGACAGAATCTACGGTAAGAACATAGACTGAGACCTTGACCGTGAATCCTGAATTGGTAGAGAAGCGCTCAAGTCTGTGAGCAGAGAGTGAACAGAAGCAGAAGAGGAAGAGAACTCGGAGGAATGTTTGGGTGAGTTGTTGGCTGCTGCAACTTCAGCTCTGATATAGTAGATCAGACAACCGTGAGGGAGGCCCTGGAAGGAAGCCAAGGAAGCAACTGATGGCATCAAGAGACATGCATTTGGTTCTCAGCATATATACATCCCCTACCACCAGTGCTCATTTTTGTTTTGTTTTGTTTTAACTAGGTAAAAAAGCTACTTCACAAGTATGCAATAATGACAAATGCAGTAGTTCCCTAGAACATAAAATACTAATTTTCAACTCTGTGTGGACGGCTCCCCAGTTTAAATCATTTTATACGAGTGGAAGAACTTTATTAGGTCACCAAAGACTTAATTACCTTGTACTGCAGTTTTTGTTATAAGAATGAAATCAGTCATGGGGTTCAGGAAGCAATTTTTAGAAAACGAACTATTTATTTGGACTGGAGAATAACACAGCCACCATAAGAGCAAAATCTTATGAATTATTTCTTTGCTCACTGACAATTCTGTGCTATTACAGAAGAAAAAAATCCTTTTATTTTGAAAGCATGAAAGGCATCAAGATCTGATGTAAAATATAGGGCATAAAAGGACAGGAGTGGGATTTAATGTGTAGAATAATTCTGAAAAATAGTATTTGTAAGTAAGACAATATTGCTTCTGGCCTCAGAGATTAAAAACAAGAGGAGAAATTTGTAGCACTATGTGCAAATGCATGATGCTTCCTTGCTATACTTCAAATAATGATTCTCAAGATTTCAACCAAATCATCGTATCTGAAAGGGTAAGAGAAATGTTTCTACAGCTTCTTCTAAGTCTTGGTATAGATGGAAGAGAGAAAACTTGCCAGAGCTACTCCAAGCTGAAAACAGCTTCACAGACACAGAGCATCATTAAAGCTAACTAGGACCTATGAGGAATGCATTTGGCAACCAGATTCAAGTCATGTTTACTCGACTAACTAGGAGGCAGAAGAGAAAGATTCAATGTCCTGGCTGTTTTGACACCATTACTCATAAACCTTGAGCAAATCACATAACTCCATGAATCCCCATTTCTACACATTGAAGTCAAAGAATACTAATTCTATGTAACTCTAGAGTTTTGTGCAGGTGAACTAAAATATCATCTGTATGAACTATATTAGGTATCCTGTAGTAATCTATAATGAAAAGGAATGTGAAAAGGAATATATGTATGTATATGTATGACTGAAACATGATGCTGTACGCCAGAAATTGACACAACTTTGTAAACTGACTATACATCAATTTAAAAAAAATTATCTTTGGAATCTAAAAAAAATTTAAATAAAACAGAAACAGACCCATAGACATAGAATACAAACTTGTGGTTGCCAAGGGGGGCAGGGAGTGGGAAGGGACAGACTGGATTTTCAAAATGTAGAATAGATAAACAAGATTATACTGTATGGCACAGGGAAATATATACAAAATCTTGTGGTAGCTCACAGTGAAAAAAAATGTGACAGTGAATATACGTTTTGTATATATTTGTATATATTTGTAATATAACTGAAAAATTGTGCTCTACACTGGAATTTGCCACAGCATTGTAAAATAACTATAACTCAAAAAGATGTTAAAAAAAGAAATTTAAAAAAATCATCTATATGATCATCTGTAACTTCATAGATACACAAATATAACAGTTGTGAACTTTCTTTAGGTTTCAGTCCCCTATGAGGCATGACAATTTGGGTTGCTGCAAGAGAACCCAGAAACAATGTCATCCTTCTATTTTTTTCTATTTTCTAAATCGTTATGAAAACCAGTATTTTACTCTAGAGTATAAAAATAGCCATCTTCTTGAACCATACACATTTCCTAGTTCTCAGCTAATCAGATATTCAGGAAACATCCAATGGCTCAAGAAGGAAAGAGAGCTCGTGAATGTAACTGTGTCCCATGTGCGTGAGAGAGAGTGTGCGCTCTACAAGCCCCCGGGGTGGTCAGCCCCCGGCTGGTAGGGAATGATCTTGCTCAGCCTCTGTCACCCTTTTCCCTGTTTCTCTCTCTCTCTCTGCCCCCAGAACACATGGGGGTAAGTTAGGTGTATGTCATGCTCACAGCTGTCCACCTGACGTCTACCTGGTGCTGGCACACACTGACCATCCACAAACGTGAAATTCACTGAGGGAAGCTGAACGCGCCTGTGTTTTTCAGTCTTCTTTGTTGGCTCTGACTCATTTCTCTAATTCCCCCTGTACGTTGACACCAAAGTGGCTGCTTGAAGAGCAAAAATTCATTATGACAACGCAAGGCTGAAAATCCGAATTTACATCCCAGGCTTTGAAGCCGTTTCGCAATCTACTCGCAGTCTGCTTTTCTGCACCCGTCCCTCCCCAGCTCCTAGGCGCTCCCTCTGTTCACGCTGGAGTTACTTGCAATTCTATGGCTGCTGCATAGTCTTTTTTAACTCTGGACACTTGCACACGATATGCCTTCTGCATGAGCAGCCTTCACCCTCATCCATCTATGAGAATTTTCTCTTCACTTTAGGTCTTCTTCAGGCCGTTCTCTAACCTTACAGTTTGCATGACACACACTGGAAGCATCTGGCGTGCTTCCCACCGCTCACCCCCACGGCAAAGGCAGGCTCTGGGGATCTCTCACAGCATCTTGGCAGGACGCTGGTTCAGAAGAGGTCTCAGCACCCATTAAAAGCTGATTAGCATTGGCATATAAATTACATCTGCCACCGGGCTCACGACACTGCACCGCCCACAGGACGCAAACGGACACAGTGTTCTGTATAAACGGTGTCCCTTGGGGTTGTGCAACGTGGGGACCCTCTTTGTTCTTCGCTGTCCTAATCACGTGGATGTAACTCATTCTCCTCTATTTTAAGTATGTGTGTGCTGGCCTGTCTTTTCATCCAGACTGAACTTCTTGAAGGCAAGCATGTTGCATTTTGTATCCCCAGTGCTAAAAGTCAGGAGGAACGCACGGAAGATCAACACACATACACTGGCTGGGTGAATGAAGGCAGATGTGATTTAGTGATGTTGTTGTGCTTAGATCTAATAGTGGGAAAATGTAAGAAACTTATGTAAACTCCATTAGAGGTTTATTCTCTTTGTATCCGTATCCGAGAAAACAAAGAGTGAGATTTTGGTAGAGTAATGCAGTGCTCTGTACATTCTAGCCACTCATCAGTGGTACCTACTTGAGGCAGTGAGATAGTCACTAATATTTCTCAGGAGTGAGTTAAACATATCTATAAGCTGCTAAGAAAGAACAGAAAATATGTGTTGACAGATAGGGCCTTCTTGACGGAGAAGGAATCTTGCGCTTATCCAGTGGGTAAATATCCTCAGGGAATTCCTAAGGAGGTAGAGATCTAAGACATGGCAGAGGAGGAGCAAAAAACTCCACTTGCAAGAGATCTGAAAAAAAGTCAGGGTGATAGTAATATGGATGTAAGATACTTATCTTTTAAAAATCAAATGGATAAAACTGATTTACTTTCCAAATATAGATGCAATTTTTATTAAGCTCTACAAATGTGAAGATGCTGGTATCACTGGATCTACGTATTGATTATTATATTTATGCTATCGATGTGCTAACATATCTACATTAAAATGGAGAACGCCAAGACTGAGTCCGGGCCATTACCATCTCATGCCCAGATTGCTGCCATAGCCTCCCGGTTGGACGCCTTCCTTCCTCCCTTGACCCAGAAGGTTGGTCTGTGCTCTCACAGCATACACAATGATCCCTTAAAAAATCTAAGTCAGGGCCTGCCATTTGTCTGCTCAAAGCCCTGCATCCGCCTCCATCTCACTCAGAATAAGAACTGGCCATGACCTACACAACTGTGCACCCTCCACCTCCGCCCCCTTCTCCTCCTGCTCTCTCTGTGTCTCCCTGCTCTGCTCCAGCAATACTGGCCTTGCTCCTTCTCAGGCCTGCTCAGCATGCATCCACACCAGAGGTGAGCATCTGCCCACTCTTCTGTCTAAAAGTTGCCCCATGATCCATTCCCTCACTCCAATCACCTGTTTTGCATAGAGGTCCTCCCCACCTGGTACCCCACCTCCTACATCTCTTGCTCCTGTGTTGCTTTTTTTTCCCTAGTATTTATCACGTGAACTACTTGGCACATGTATTTGCTTCTGTGTTTATTGTACGTCTCCTCACACAAGAACATACCTTCCACACGAGCCAGAACTTAACAGGGTGCCCCCCCCCCCGCCCCTTGGACAATGTCAGACACCCGGTCCTTGCTCCATAAATATTTGCTCAAGTTTGAAAAACAGGGATAATTCGTTGTGTTGATGGCTGTTCAACTCTATAAATACATTAAACGCCATGAATAATGCGCTTCAAATGGATGACTTCTATGGCAGGTGAATGAATTATATCTCAATAAAGTTATTACAAAAAATTAGGTAAAGCAGACATTGAGGCTGGATTGTATGCTTTGTTATTTACCCAATAGCTTCTAGATTTTCCTAGGAGTTTCAGGGCTGTTCATTTATAAATAACAGATTTTTTAAATAAATTGTTTATCAGTGGGTGTTCATCAGCCCCAATTGCTTCAGGCTACACTTTAAAAATCCCACCACAGAGAGAAGTTGATTTGCATGTGGCATTTTAACATTATCATTTGAAATATCTGCACATTTGTTAAAGACTAGTGAAGAAACTTCAAAAGGTAAATTACATTTTAAAAATATTTTAATGATATGTAGCTTGGTTCGCAGTGAGAGGCAGGGGAGAGGATCTTACTGCAAACGGTCTGCGTTCAGAAAAACCTAGTTGTCACACGTCAGTAGTTCGCTGGAAACATAATTGCAAAACTGGCTGAACAACATCATTATTTACCGGATGTGGTGTATTTTGGAGCTAATTTTCCTTAGTAAGTACCACCGAGAAATGTATATCACTATGGCAATGAAATAATTATTTGTTCAGCTTTCATTTAGCCGTGGATAGAAACAGAGAAGTTAGAGCTATAACCTCGCAGTGGAAACATTCACATTCCTGGTTCCATCCTGAGGTGAGCAGGGCTAAATAAAGTATCTTCAAGATGCTTAAGTGCTAGGTTACCGCAGGTAAATGACTCTCCACGTTCACACTTGACGTGCGGAACAGCAAGTTTCTGAAGCACCTATCTCAGAATTAAACCACCTCATTAGGCTACTAGAATATGTAAAATGTAGTTTTATAACCTACAGTTATTTTTTTGCATTGTCTTTTCTGTGACGGTGCCTATAAGAAAGGATAAAAGGTTTATATACATGTATTTATTTTTTTCAACATGAAACTGGATTATTCCCTATCCTGTAGGTTGGCACTTCCTACCACATTTGCACAGCACTTTTTAAATATATAATTCCTATTTCCTTTGATTTGCCTACAGCATTTCCTCCTTGAACATACTCTTCTTAACAAGGGCTTCAGACAGCAGTCGCTTTTCTACTTTAATACTATGCTAAATGCTTATTTCTCTACTTATTCACATGCTCTCTTCCCTGTGCACCGTGAGCTCTTGTGAAGTCTGGACTCTGCCTTCACCATCTCTGTGTCCCAAGGATTTACCACAGCTATTCAGGACAGAAGATCTGCTGGGGAAAATGATGTCAAGTCTTTATCCCTAAGTTTCTTCACCTGTTAAAAAA